AGGCCATACCATGACCACCCTCCTCTTGCTGCTGTACTTTCCAGGACAACATCCACCGCAACCTGCTGAACCGTGTGGAGGCGGAACGCGCGGCACTGCAGGAGAAGTTGCAGTACCTGGCGGCACAGAACAAGGGACTCCAGACTCAGCTCAGCGAAAGCCGCCGCAAGCAGGCAGAGGCCGAGTGCAAGGTGCAGCCCCTGCCCGGACCCCACGACCCTATCTGAGACCTTGCCACCTCCTTGATCTGCTCTCTGTCTCCCCCCCACCCCCCTTCCCTTCAGAGTAAGGAGGAGGTGATGGCTGTGCGCCTTCGGGAGGCAGACAGCATGGCTGCAGTGGCAGAGATGAGACAGCGCATCGCAGAGCTGGAGATCCAGGTGAGCCCCAGGAACTGGGAGGAGGGTGAACCCCCGGGGCTGGCCATGCTCTGACCGACAGTACCCCGGCCCTCCCGGCAGAGGGAGGAGGGCCGCATCCAGGGCCAGTTGAACCACTCGGATTCATCGCAGTACATCCGGGAGCTGAAGGACCAGATTGAAGAGCTGAAGACTGAGGTGAGAGCAAGGGGTACTGGCCACAGGCCAAACGCTGGTACGGGGACCCAGATAAAGCATGAAGCTAGGAGAGTAAGGGAGGAAGGCGCCTGATGGCCGGGCTTCTCTGTGGATACGTCGATCTACGTCTCCAACGCGCGGGTGCCCCCTCCCTCCCCCCACGCACCCCAGGTGCGGTTGCTGAAAGGCCCACCAACATTCGAGGACCCGCTGGCTTTCGATGGGCTGAGCTTAACGCGGCACCTGGATGAGGATTCGCTACCATCTTCTGATGAAGAGCTGCTTGGTGTGGGTGTGGGCGTGGGCGCCGCCCTGCAGGACCCACTCTACCCTCTCTCTCCCCGGGACGCGCGCTTCTTCAGAAGTCTGGAACGGCCAGCCAAGGACAGCGAAGGTAGCTCAGACAGCGATGCAGATGAGCTAGCCACGCCTTATAGCAACCAGGGGCTGGACAACTGAAGCTGGGGGCCACTCCCTGGGAGCCTGGAGGCCCTCATCGCTGAGAGGAGAGAGCGGCAGTCCGTGACCTGGCAGCTCCACAGTACTAAGGAATTCTGTGCCTCTAACTCCGCCAACTGAGGGCCAGGCGGAGGAGGCAGCACAGACGGCAGGGCCTACTGGCAGGCCTGGCCTACATAGCAGTGTTTACCCGTTCTAGACCATATCATCCAAGCCCTCTTGAGCTCAAGGGGTGCATGGGCCAGTTACCTGGAGGGTGTTGCTCTCCTAACATGGACAAGGGCCCAAAGTGAAGAGGTCCCAGGACTTGCTAATGAGCAGGAAGCTTCCTTCCAGTCAGCTTCCCGTTGGGACAAGGGTGGCCCTGCTGGGTGGGGCCCAGGAACTGCAGTAGGTCTGAGGAAGGAGGGACAACTTGGACTGGATCTTAGCACCCCAGGACAGGTTCTCTGGACACAGTGATATTGAACAGCCAGCCCCTTGCCACTGGGGACAGATGGCCAGGCTGGACTTTTCTGCCTGGTGCAGGCATCATGGCCCCTGCAGCAGAAACCAAAGCCCCCCACCCCCATCCTGTCTGCAGGACCCCCTGGGGTGTGAGTGGTCAGTGTCTCCCCACTCTCTAGGGCTATAGAAGCTGCAGAGAAGAGACCCTTCCCCTAGAGCACCCATCTTCCTCTGGGGAGTGCTAATATCTATCACACGTGTTGGCCGGCTGTAGAAGAGAACCCCCTCCTTGGGAGTTCTCAGCCTCGGTCCACTTATTCCTGTGGACTTATTATTCTGGCTAGAGTTTCCCAGTCAGTTACCTCCCCTTATCTCTTCGAAGTGTTCCCATGGTCTCTGCCCAGTCAGAGTTGAGAATGGTGCCAAAGTCCATCAATACTCCCCAGGCTCCTTTATCCTTCACCCCCTGCATCTTGGGACCCCTAGGGGCTGACCCCCTTTCAGTGCTCCTAGAGCCTCAGGTAGAATGGTGCCCACAGCATTCCCTGGGTGCTTCCTGGGTGGGGTCCCCAGCTCAGTCTCTATTCCTGGTGGCCCACTCTTCAAGTATTAAAAAAAGCCTGGGGGCTGGGGCAGGGTACCCCTGAGGAGGCCCTCTCATGTGCCCCTCCACACTGCCCACCACCATTTTGCACACTGCCTGTTCACACTCCATGTCTCCAAGGCAGAAAAGATGGAAAATAAAGTGTATTTACACAGTCATAAGGGATGCTGAGTAGAGCCAAATGGCTGGGAAAAATCACAGGTGCTAAAGAAGGTGCTGAACCCCCATCCATGTGTTCTGGAAGTTCAGAGATAAATCCAGTGGCTAGTTGGTGTGAGAAATGCCATAGGCATGAAGAGAGGGCTTGAACCTGGCCTAATAATCCAAAAATGCCAGCTTGAGGAAGAGCTGGGCCCAGTGGTCTCTATTCCATGAAAACTGTAGGAGGCCATTGGGGTGTGCTGCCCTGTGTGTGCCTCTGTGGAGTCTCTGATGTCGTAGGAATGGGTACTGAAGGTTTGGGGAGTGAATTGTCATTAATGCCAAAGTAGACAACCAGAGCAGAAAAATCAAAGAAGCCTTCATGGAGGAGGCAGTGTGAGAGGTTTCCCTAAGGGCAAATGCACAAAGCCCAGATGCTGTGGGGAATGGTGGGATGGGGATGGGAGTGGAGGAGAAGGGTCATTGTCTTTGATGGAGGCAGAATGTCCAGGAAGAAGGAACAGAGTCTGGGTGTATGGTGAGATCAGGAAGATGGAAGTGTGACTGCTTCAGTCGGAATCAGAGTTTGGGCTTTGAACTGAGGACAGTATGAAGCCCGCGGGGAAGGCTGAGAGTAGAGCCAATTGAATGGGAAATGGTAGTAGGGATCAGTAACCAACCCAGAGCATCAAATGCCAAACTGAGTCAGGCAGTGGCACTGATCATCTGGAAAGAGTGCCCAGGTTAGCTCCAGCTCATGTTGGTAAGGGGAAATACAGCCTAGGGCACTAAAAAAACGACTCTCTGCTGCCCAGTGGCACAGAGCAACTGGGTACAACACTTGAGTCCATGTCAGAATAGTTGAGTCCCCTACAAATGTTCTCCTTCCTGTTACACAGATCTAACACTGGTGCTGTCCCTGTGACTGCTGCTCCCATTGGGTAACTGATACCCACATACTCCTATTCCCAAGCTGGCTCCCTGAGCTGGAGCCTAGCTATGGAGGAAAAATCCTTACAGAAGTTGGCCTTGAGGGTCTAGCTGCCCAGTGTCAAGACTCAGTTTTTTGTTTTTGTTTTTTGCCTGACATGGTGGCACCTTTAATCCCCAGCACTCTGGAGGCAGAGGCAAGTAGATCTCTGAGTTCTAGGCCAGTCTAGTGTAAAGGGTGAATTCCTGGACAGCCAGGGCTATACAGAAAGAAAGAAAAAAAACCTCTTTAAAAACAAGCTTTTTCTCTTGGACTTGAGGTTTGAGAACAAGGATATCTGAGGTTCCCTCCAGGGCTCTGCTAGAGAAGAAATCTCTGGCTTGTCACAAATCTCAGAACTAGAGTCCAGAGTATGCTCCCTCTCCCAACATTGGGAGGAGCAGTGCTCCTCTGAGAGGAGTAAAATTCAAGCAGGGATGCCATGCTGAGGCAGAGAGAAAGAGAGAGGGAGGGAGGGAGGGAGGGAGGGAGGGAGAGAGAGAGAGAGAGAGAGAGAGAGAGAGAGAGAGAGAGAGAGAGAGAATGAATATGTGTGTCAGCTTGCCTGGGGTTAGGGGCTCCAGGTACAGGTTAATGTCTGGTAGGTGGGAAGCAATTCTGATTGGAGGACTTAAATGAAGAGGGTGAGAATTCATGAGATCATCTAGAGTTAGAGACAGGGCAGGGATGCCCCTGAGAGCGCAGTCCATAGATTGGCATGGTGTCAACTCCTGGATCTTCTGCCCACCCACCCCATCCCCCAACCCCTGCAAGCTCCAGCCAGGTCAGTCCACTTAGCCCCTACATTTGTGGAAGTTCTTTCTGCAAGCCTGGGCAAGTAACTGCTTTAACACTGTAGCCTTCTTGGTTAAAGGAAAGGGAGATTATATCAGTTTATTTTCAACTATGATAAAAATACCTTGACAAAAGCAACTTAAAGGAGAAAGGTTTTATTCTGGCTCACAGTTCAGGGAATCGTCTATCACTGGGGAAGTCAAGGCAATCGTAGCTGGAAGCAGCTGCTCACTGAGCATCCACCATCAGGAAAAAAAGAGACGTGAAGGCATGCTGCTGCCCAGCTCTCTGCTTACACAATCCAGTATTCCATCCAGGGAATAGTGCCACCCAAAACACATGGGTGTTTCCACCTCAGCCCAAGCAAGTTAATTCCCCATAGGCATGTCAAGAGGCCCCTCTTTTGGGTGTTTTCTACATTTTGTCGACTTGACACTACTCATCATGGAGAAGTAACAGATGAAGTCAAGGACTCACCATTCCTCTGTTTGAGTTCATCCTTCAGGCCCAACTCTGAAGCATGGAAGAGAAGGGGTGCAGGGTGCACACAGGGCAGAGGGGCTGTAGCAAGGGGTATCAAGGAGAGCAAACTACCCCATGTCCAGAGTAAGAACTTCGGTGGCTCTCCAGTTCATCCACCCAGGCCTTTGTGAACCTAACATTTTCTTTAGAAGTGAGACTCGAATAACCACAAGACCATTGTAGCCACGGTCTTGCCAGTCCCTTTTCGGTAGAAAAGTCAGTTCAGCCAGAACTTGGATTTGCTCAGGCATAACCACTGGTATGGTGTAGCCTGGCCCTTCAAACTACCTCTGTGGTCCTCTCCCAGCTCTCAAGGGGCAGGGTGCACAGGTGCTAGCATGTAAACCATTCAGCATGTAAACTATTGTTTGTCCACTGAACATTGGGTGTGGCTTAGGCCAAAGAGAAGCTCAAATGGAAGGCCGAGGCCTAGTGTGGTCTGGTTACAGTCCAAGCCTAAGCCAAGGAAGAATAGGATACAGCCTGGGCCCAAATACAGGGCTCTAGAGGTATAAAAAAAAAAAAAAATCCATAATCCATTTAAGTGGAAGTGGGAGCGGAGACTAAGACAAAAGAGGTGTAACCAGAAGGGTGGATTCTAAAGTGGTATATGTATGGTGGACAGGGCTAGGGTCTGGCTCAATGAAAAGTCTCCACTTCCACCACAGTCCAGTCACCCTGTGGGGAGGCCACATCATCTGGGGAGAAGCTGGTGACCGAAGTGATGCTGGCACGCGACTCGTCCAAGGGAGACAGCAATTCTGCCCAGCGGCCCAATTCAGCATCGCTGAGCGGAGCCCGGGATCCTCCCGAGACACCAACACCCCCTGAGCCCCCTGAACCACCTTCGCTGCCGGCAGCTGCACCTTCCGAAGCGGCTAACAGCAGTGTCCGGCTCAGCAGGTGCTGCACGACGCTCGCCTGAAGCGCCCCCAGCGGCAGCTCACCAAGGCGAGCCGACTTTGGGCTTCTCGTCGACGCTCCCGCGCAGGCTGCAGCAGTCACCTTCGCACTGCCAGAGCCAGGCCTCAGTTCTGGCTCCACATCTAGGGACCCAGGGGTGGGGGCCACCGACTCTGGTCCTTCAGCTTCGTAGATGGTGCACAAGCCGTCAGAGGAACCCGGGCCAGCAGTGGGAGGCCACGGCAGGGGAACTCCTGTAAGAGCAAATGTGGGGACCAGCAAGATTGCTCAGCGATTAAGAAGAGCACTTGTCACCAAACCTGAACCTAACAACCGCTGTTTGATCTCTTGAACCTACATAGTGAAGGAGGGAACCAACTCCCACAAGTTGTCTGACCTCCACAACAGTGCTGTGACACTCGAGCCCAGTCGCACAAATATTCAAAGAAGCAAGTGAATAAATAAAACTCATCGATATGAAAAAAAAAACTTGCCAGGCGGTGGTGGCGCACGCCTTTAATCCCAGCACTTGGGAGGCAGAGGCAGGCGGATTTCTGAGTTCGAGAGTTCGAGGCTCGCCTGGTCTACAGAGTGAGTTCCAGGACAGCCAGGGCTACACAGAGAAACCCTGTCTCGAAAAAGAAAGAAAGAAAGAAAGAAAGAAAGAAAGAAAGAAAGAAAGAAAGAAAGAAAGAAAGAAAGAAAGAAAGGAAGGAAGGAAGGAAGGAAGGAAGGAAGGAAGGAAGGAAGAAAGAAAGAAAGAAAAAAAAGAAAAAACCTTAAGGACCACCAGGGGGCTGGAGAGATGGTTCAGTGGTTAAGAACACTAGCTGCTCTTTAAGAAGAACTGAGTTTGATTCCCGGTACCCACGTGGCTGCTCACAATGATCTTCAAGTCCAGTTCCAGGTATTTTGACAAATTCTTCTAGCCTCCGTGGCACCACATACATGGTGCACAAACATACATGCAGGCAAATCACCCATTGGCATAGAATAGAATAAAATAAAATAAACAATAGGGCTGGAAAGGTGGTTCAGTAGGTAGGACACTTGCCAGTAAGCCTGAAAGCCTGAGTTCAGTCCACAGGTAAGGTAAAAACTGAATTCCATAAGTTGGCTGGCTAACTTCCACAAGTGCACCAAAGGAGTGCATGCCCACAAAGAGATACAAACACATTCAAAACAACTAAATGAACGTGATTTTAAGGAGGCAGGATTGGAAAGGTGACTTGGAGGTAAAGAGCGAGTACAGCTCTTGCAAGGACCTGAGTTTGGTTCTCAGCACCTATTTCGGGTGGTTTGCATCCAATTGTAACTCAAAGAACTCACACACATGGTACATACATTCATAGAAACACACATACATATACATAAAAATAAATCACTTTTTAAAAGACATTACGAGATAAGTAAACGCAATTGCAGCCCTGCCTGACCACCTGAATTCCCTCCCTATGACTAACATGGTGAAAAGAGAAATTACTACCAGAGCTTACACACACACACACACACACACACATACACACACACACACTAGACCAGATGGGGGGGCTTGACAACTTCTTGGGAAGCTCCGCCCCCGAGCCCCGGAATTTGTTCAGCATCCTTACCTGGAGTGCCGCGCACTGCAGAACTTCGACTCCAGGAGGCCGGGTGGCAGGCAGCTAGCTCTGCATCCGGGGCTGGGGAGATTGTAGCGCAGCCCTCGGGCCCGCTATCGTAGCCGCGGAGCTCCTCCGGTGTACTCGTGGCGCTGCTGCTATGGCCTGCCAGGTCCGGGCCGCTCAGCGTACTGGAGGGGCTTCGCGAGGGTGGCAGCGGCGGGGCAGGGGCCAGCGCCAGGGTGAGCCGTGGACCTGAGATAGGGACATCTGGACCCGGGGTCGGGGGTCGACGAGGGGCTTGCAGTGGTGGTGAGGCAGGAGGAGAAGGAGGCTGAACGATGGGCGAGGTCAGGCAAGGAGGGGCCCCCGGAGGGAGAGTGGTCAGGGGAGAAGGAGGGGTCTGTAAAGTAGGTAAAACCACAAGGGGAATCTGTAGTGGGGGTGTGGCTGTGGCCAATGGGGAGTAGGGAGACTGCAGAGAGGGCAAGGCCAGAGAAGGTGGGGTCTGAGGAGAAGGTATTGTCAGAGGAGAAGGAGAGGTTTGTAGAGGAGGCAAAGCCAAGGGGGGAACCTGTGGAGAACTTGTGGTTGTGTCCAGGAAGGTGGTGGAAACTGGCAGAGGGGGCAAGGCCAGGGGTGGGGCTTGAGGAGGGGGCGTGGCCAGGGGTGAAAGAGTGGGTGAGCCCAGTGAAGGTGGGGCTTCTGGAGGGGGAGTTGTCAAGGGAGACGAAGGTGAGGCTGAGGGAGAAAGAGGGCCCTCCAGAGGAGGTGAGGCTGGAGGGGAGAGAAGAGCGGGCAGAGGGGGTGAGGCAGAGGGTGAGGAAAGAGGTAAAGGGTATGTAACAGGAGGTGCCTGCAAAGGAGGCGAGGGTAGAGTGTGTGGCTGCATAGGGAGGGTAGGCAAGAAAGAAGAAAGCAAAGAGAGTGAGCCCATAGAGAGTTGGCTGGGCAGAGGGGACAAGGCCAAAGGAGGAGGCGTGGCCTGCTGGGGCGAGGAGGCCAGTGCGGGCGGCAAGGTCGACAAAGAGGCCTGTGAAGTGGGCAAAGTCGGAGAAGGTGGGAGCATCAGAGGAGGTGTGACCACGGAAGAGGGAGAGACAAGCACAGGTGGTGAGGTGGAGATAGAGGAAGAAACTGGAGGAGAAATGGCCAGAAACAGGGGATCTTGTGAAGGCGGCATGGTTTGATTAGAGGGCGTGGCCTGGGGAAGGGGCGGAGACACAGAAAAGTTGGCCGGGAAAGAGGGAGTAGTTAGAGTGGAGAGAGGCAACTGAGAGGGTGTGGCAACGGGAGTGGGCAAATTCTGTGGAGAAATTGGCGGAGAAGGAAGGGGTTGTGGAGGAGGCGTGGCTAGAGGTAGAGGAGCAGGTGAGAAAGGCGTGACCAAGAGAGTCTCCTGTGACTGCGATGCTGAAGAAGCCTGGTTGGGGGGCATACTCTGTATAAGGGGAGGGAGCGATGGAGACATTACAGCTTTTGGTGGGGGTGAGTCAGAGGCCTCTTCAGTACCCAGACATGTGGGTGGAGCTTGCAAAGGGGGTGTGGCTGGTGGAGAGGGGAGGTTCTGCAGAGAAAGAGGGGGAGGTGATAGTGAGCCATGTCCAGACTGTGAATGGGACATTGCTTGTGAAGAGGCTTGTGCTTGGGGTAGTTGGGGTAGTTGGGGTAGTTGTTGGGGTAGAGGCGGGGTGGCGGGTGGAGAGGGGGGAAGTGTGGCCTGCAAGGGATCTTCTGGGACCTGGACAGAGGAAGCACCAGGCGAAGCAGGCGTGACTGAAGATGAAGCAGAATTCAGGCTCTGTACAGAGGGCCTGCTCTTTCTTGGGACTGTGGTCTGGGTTGGATGCAGAGCTTGCTGCCCTTTCGACTTGAGCTGTGAGGTATGCGCAGGAACCCGTGGGGTTCCACGCGGTGAGACCCCGGAGCGGGATGGGGAGAGCTGAGTAGCACTGGGGATCAGTGAACGGGAGACCGGCTTTTGCAGGCTGCCACCAGCGACAGAGCGCCTCCTAATGACTGGGCTCAGCTCCGTGGCACTGGATTCAGAAGCACTGCTCAAAGATTTCCTGGATGCCTCGGTGGTGAGAGGACGCTGTCTGGCACTGGGAGCTGGTTGAGGAAGTCCCACCTCTGTAGCTGGGGCCCTTGACCGACGAGTGATGGCGGGGGAGGGGGCTCCTGAAGTGGGCCCTAAAGAATCTGCAGACAAAACTAAAGTCCAAAAAAACCCACATGGGTATCTCAGGGCTGGTTGCCTTCAAAGACTGATAGAAACCTACTTGTCACCAGGTCACGTACCTCTTCGTGTTCCAGAGCTCAGAGTATTCCTTTTGGGTGTCTCTGATGTTTTACCTCTGACCACAGGTTCTTTAGTCGGAGGTTGGAGTCCCTTCTGGACAACAGGGCCTGGTCTGGGCACAGGAAGACCAGTTGTTAGCATTTCCAATTTCACATTTCCCCATCTGTGAAATAGAGTTGCTTGCCTTTCTGTGACCCAACCAATAATGGCTTTTGCCCAACTTGTGTCCATTACCTGCAAGTGTTCCTGAGCTATCTCATATATAATATTTTTGTGTATGTGTACGTGTGTATACAGTTGTGTGCGCGCACACACACAGACCCATTGCATGGATATGTGGAGACCAGAGATAAACACTGACATCTAACTGGATCCATTTTTCTACCTAATTTTATATTCTGTTTTACTTATTATTACTATGTGAACTATGTAGGCTGGCCTTGAACTCACAGAGATTTGCATGCCTCTGGCTTTTAAGAGCTGGAATTAACAGCAAGTGCTACTATACTTGGCTATTTTTTCTCGAACAGAATCTGATGTTTGACGCTTCCTCTGCCGGGCACCAGAAACCCACTTCTTTTCTTCCTCCATCTCATTCACACCCAGAACTGAGGTTACAGTGGTACATCAAGACCGGCTTTGACATAGGTGCTGGAATTTCAAACTCAGGGCCTCATATTTGTGCAGCAAGCACTTTAGCACACCAAGCTACCTTTCCAGCCCATTCGTGTGTGATATCAAAAGGTTCCAAATTGCTAAATTAACCCTTACTTAGGGGAACTAGGGAGTTAGGGTAATTAGCTTATTACCTGGCGATCCCACTGCTGGCACGCCCCGGGCTAGAAATAGAGCCCTGGCCAGAGGTCTTCATAGGGGCCCTCTCTCCTTTCCCAGAAGCTGGGGACCTGTTGGCTTCGGGGAGAAGACAAAAATCAATGGTACTTCTGAAAAAGAGAAGTACCTAAAAAGGAAGAGGGGAGGGAAGCAGAGTTCAGATGGAGGTCACAAATAAAGTTGAGTACCTGGGCTGCGAGGACCTGCCCCAGCACTGCGTGCTGGTGGCCCGTGACTAGTGGTCTGTGGAAGAGCTGCTTTGCTGGTCTGTGGAAGAGCTGCTTTGCTGGTCTGTGGAAGAGCTGCTTTGCTGGTCTGTGGAAGAGATGTTTTGCTGGTCTGTGGAAGAGCTGCTTTGCTGGTCTGTGGAAGAACCGCTTTGCAGACGCCTGGGGCTCGCTCCACCAGAGGCCTTCGCCCCATAGCTCCGTTTGCTTCCAAGACTCGAAGGGCAGCAGTGGTTACAGGGGGAGGAGGTCGAGCGGACCCAGAAGGAGGCCTAGGAGTCAGAAGGCCAGGGGGTCGTGAAGCCGCCATCCGCGGGGCAGTTCCTGATTTTATCCTATCCCTCTTGTCCATATCGCACCTGATGAGAAAGACATAGGATTGGTATCCCAGGTCCTGAGCCAATCACTATAAGCCATCCTGACGTCTCCCTGTGCTTCCTCTAGCATCGCTACCCATGGGTGCCTAAACCTCAGCTTAAAGAGCCTCAATTTTCTTTTCTTCTAACCACCCACACCCGCTCACTAACCTGGCCCTCAGTGTTCTCCTCAAGTCCTACTGCTACCTCCGTCTCCCCAAAGCTGAGACGCCCTGTTCGTCCCCCACCCTCCGACCCCAACCCCTCCTCTACCCTCTTACAAGAACAACATCCATTCCCCTACCCCCCTCGCCTCTTGGCAACCTAAATGACCAATCAGGCAAACAGGGGAATGCCTCCGGCTTCCAGATTCAGGGGCCTCCGTGTGCACGCCGATGGGGCTCCGCCAGCGTCCTCCCTCAGGTTCCACAGGCACCTGCTCAGAGAAAAAGAGTGGCCTTGTTGCCCGCGAACGGGCTCCGGGAGACAAAGAGCTGACCCCTCCCCCAGCCTGCACCCCTGTGCCAGCGATCCGCCCGATCCACCTGCTCACTGCACGCATTCACCTCCGCCTCTGGGCACCATCCGCTCCACGCAGGGTCGCCTGGGGTGGGGTTGGGCCGGAGAGCGGTGGTGAGGAGCAGCGAAAAGGCAAGGGGAGGGGGCTTCAGGCGACAGTGCCTAGGGAGCTTGGCCGCGGCCCCGCCCCCCAGCTTCGGGTGGGGAGGATGCGCGCACTCGTTCTCGGTCCAGAGCCGGGAGCGTGCCGAGAGCCTGAGAAAAGAGGCGCGCCTCTGAGGGAGGTGCGGGTGCTGCCTCCTTATAATACCCCAGGAGAGGCCAATTTCAGTGGCAGTGTCCAACAACCACAGAACTAACCAGAAAGGCTCTGTGGGGAATTCCCTTGAAGACCCTCACAGTCCTCTACTCAAGCTCTTGCACCTGCTCCGACACCCCCTTTCTCTCGCGCTTGGAGACCAACACTCTCCTAGACAGGGATAGGCTGGACCTTGGCAACCGGTAGGGCGGGATCATTATGCCTCTGGCCCACCAACCAATCCAGCCATTTTGTGTGGCCTGGTCTTCTTTTCTTCTACTTGATGACTGTGGAGGCTAGATAGCCCTGAGACACCTATGCCAGATTACCTATTTTGTAACTTCGACTTTTCTCACAGCCCTTACCTGATACGGGTTAGTGGGGGTTGCTGGAAAATGAGAACCCTGGAAGTTACTTTTTTTTATTATTACATTTTATTTGGGGTTGTCTCTCTCTTCTCTCTCTCTCTCTCTCTCTCTCTCTCTCTCTCTCTCTCTCTCTGAGTGTGTGTGCGTGTGTGTGTGTGTGTGTGTGTGTGGTCTTGTGCACACGCATATGCCACTGCACACTGGTAGAAGTCAAAGAACAACTTGTAGGGCTCAGTTCACTCCTACAACCAGTGTGGGTCCTGGGGCTAGTATCCAGGTGATCAGGCTTGGCGCTAAGCATCTTTACCCACTGAACTATCTCACCAGGCCCCGAATTCTTGGACTTAGAGGATGCACAGCCAATCCCAGATTTGAGAGAAGAGAGGAAGAATAGCAGGATGAAAGAAAAGGAGAGAATTAGGTAACACGGTGGTGACTCTGCCTTCTGTGGAGCAGAACATCTCAACTTTGCTGGCACACGGGCAGTCAAGGCCTGAGAAGTTTCCTGGCAGAGCTGAATTTGTGAAGTGTCCAGGAACATGATTTCGGAGGGGAGGAGAACTCTCCAAAACGTGTATGAAGAGACAGCGCATTCTGAATTGAGCATTTTAGTTGAGCAACTAAGAGATGTCACTTTAGTTTGCCAGTTCACAGATCCAGTGGGGGCAGGTACCCATAGAGGATGCTAAACCAAAACCCTGGTCTATAAGGGCTCTCTGAGGTAGGTGGGCTCATTGAGTTGGGCATTTTGGGCTGTATAGCCAAAACTCTAGAGATACAGGGAGAAGGATTATAAGTTCCAGATCAGCCTGGGCTACTTGTCAAGGCTTAGTGAGTCATTACATGTGCTAGCTAGATAAAAGAAATGAGTCCTGGAACAGCTTCAAAAGTTCCAGAAGGAAGGCTAGCAAGCAACTAGAATGATGTCTGCTGTTCCCAGAATTAAGAGCATTTTTAGGGCCGGTCATGTAGCTCAGTTGGCAAGATGCTTCTGTGGCATGCAAAAAGGCCTGGTTTCTATCCTCAGCAACATATAAACTTGGCACAGTGGTGTGCAGCTATCATCCTAGCACTTGGTGTGTGGAGACAAGAAAATCAACTTCAACATCATCGTTGGCTGAGAGATAATGTGAGACCAGCCTGGGCCTGTCTCAAAAAACAACAGCCAGGAGTAGTGATCAGACACCTTTAATCCTAGCACTCAGGAGGCAGAGATAGGCAGATCTCTGTGAGTTTGAGTCCAGCCTGGTCTACACAGTGAGTTTCAGAACAGCCACAGCTATATAGTGAGATCCTGTCTTAAAACAAAACAAAACAAAACAAAAGCAAAAAAGCATTGATGGTTTCAATGCTTGTATTTAAGCTGTGCACACCACACCTGGCAAAAATAAAATAAAATAATTTTAAGATGCAAAGCCCTAATTTTAGAACCCAGTGTGGTTCCAAGAGACCCTGTCTCAAAAAAACAAACAAATCATGGGAGGAGATTTTTATAACAGAACCTAAGGGGAAGCAGACATGGATTTTCTCCATTGAATCTCCGTGGCTATATGTAGAGAATCAGACTAGTAAGACATAATAAAAACAGAGAAGGGCTAGGAAGATGCTTAGCACATAAGGACTCTTATAACCCAAGCCTGAGATCCTAAGTTTGATCCCCAAGGACCCATATGGTAGAAGAACAACTTCTACAAGTTGTTCTCTGACTACACACACACACACACAAGCACACTAAATCAATACATATTCTTGGTATTTTCTAACTCAGTTGGCATGACATGAGGATCACAAGTTTGAGGCCAGCTTACCAAGAAAAGCAGGGGGAGAAGGATGGGAAAAGAAACAAAAGAATAAAACAGACAGCATTTCAGGATAAGGGTGTAATTATATAAAGAGCAGTACTTGATGCATCTGGAATGGCAGGAGTGGTAATCAGAAATGTTGTGTGTGGGATGGGGGTGAGCATCTAGAGAGTTCTATGAAGTTTTTGTTTTTTGAAACTGAGTTTCATGTAGCCTAGTGTAGTCTTAGACTCCAGATGAAGCCAAAAATGACATTGAACATATGCTCCTCCTACACCTGCTTCCCAAATGCTTAGACGACAGGCATGTACCATCACACCTGGTTTATGAGATGGTTGGGATCAACCAGAGTTTCGTGTATGTTAATTAATCACGGTCGAACTGAGCTACAGTCTCAGGCCTTAAGTCTGAGAGTTTTTAAATATATAATTATTTACTGGGGGTTGGGGGTGGGGTAGATAGCACATACCACAAATGGAAGCCAGGCCCAGAGGAGGCCAGCTTTGTGGAGTGGGTTCTCTCCTTCCACCTTTTTGTGGGTTTCAGGGATCAAACTCAGATCTTCAGGCTTGCTAGACAGTGCCATTGCCCACTGAGCCATTTCCAGGGCCTTAAATCAAGGTTTTAAAATTCAGGAAGGTATCTTTTGTTGGTCTGTCTCAAAACTCTTAACTAGTTGTCTTTCTCATTTCTCGTTCCCCTCCTCAGGCTTCCATTAACTTGAGGACTTTTCATGGGGTAGTAGCTTGTTTATGTAGCCTTCTGATGAACTTCCTTTTTGTCTAAGGGTCCAGTATTATCACATCTGTTGGCTGAGTATCATCTACTCCATGGTACTTTCTGCCTTGATGAGCCACAGCCACTCCCCACCCTATGGCCCAGAACTAGAACCCTGTGGCCTGTCACTCCATTTTATACACATGCAAACACATGACAAACATGTGCTCACACACGGGTGAGTAATTCCTCCCTTCCTGGAATTCAGAGGGTTGCCTAAGTAAGGAGTGGCTAGAAGCAGGGGGCTGAGCTTTCTCCATGCACCAACTAGGTGAGGTGATACATTCTTGCAATTCCCGCACTCACACTGCCTAGCCTCAATGATCACCACTAACTTGAAGTTAGTTCTAGGCCAACTTGGGTTACAAAGTAACACCCTGTTTCAAAAAACAAACAAACAAACAAACAATGGACCAGGGAGCTAGCTCAGCAGTTAAAAAAAAGGCTTGCAGCCAACTAGAATGACCTGAGTTTGTTACCCAAAACCCACACTCTAAACTCCATACATGTGCCATGGCACATGTGTGTGTTCACATATGTGAAATAAATAAATGTAACAAAAGTTGTTTTTAAGCAAATACGTGCTTCAGAGCTTTTAGTAAAAGCTCTTGCCTCCCAAGAGCTCTAGTCTTAGAACTCAGGTAAAAATCTCAGTGCAGTGGCCCATACCTTTATCCTAGTGACAGCATGGTGTGACCAGAGACAGGTGGATCCCTGGAAGCCTGCTAACTGGCTTCTTTAGCCTACTGGGCAAAATTGCAGGCCAGTGAAAGACCCTGTCTGAGCAAAAGGTGGTACTGTGACAGAAAACTAGAGTCCCTGGAGAAAGCTACACGATTAACCCTTAACCCTAAAGAAGCCGTTGACGCCGGGCAGCGGTGGCGCACACCTTTAATCCCAGCACTTGGGAGGCAGAGGCAGGCAGATTTCTGAGTTCCAGGCCAGCCTGGTCTTCAGAGTGAGTTCCAGGACAGCCAGGGCTACATGGAGAAACCCTGTCTCCAAACAAAACAAAAACAAACAAACAAACAAAACAAGAACCCCTTTGTCACCTGGGCTTCATAGACAGCTTCATAGCTAATCTGAATTAGCTAAGATTACCTAAAATGGTTGGGGCAGGTGCCATGTGAAAGCTCTATAGACTTGTGTGGTTCAGGACTCTCAGTTTTGGGCTTTCCCTCTGCTCACTAACCCAGTCCCATGCTCAGGAGTGGTTTCTCCTTTTCAATAAG